GAGCTAATTGAGGGCCTTTGCTCCATTGGGGATAGAAAGGCAGAAGAAGAATAAAACTAGTCTAATAATTAAATTCACAAAGGAATGCGCGTAAAATCTTATTGAATCAAACTTGAACGAGTGTAATAGATAAATGCACACATTAACGAGTGTAATAGATAAGTGCACACATTAATGAGTGTAATAGATAAATGCACACAATAATGAGTGTAATAGATAAATGCATACATTAACGAGTGTAATAGATAAATGCACACATAATTGAGTGTAATAGATAAATGCACACAATAATGAGTGTAATAGATAAATGCATACATTAATGAGTGTAATAGATAAATGCATACAATAATGAGTGTAATAGATAAATGCATACATTAAGGAGTGTAATAGATAAATGCATACATTATTGAGTGTAATAGATAAATGCATACAATAACGAGTGTAATAGATAAATGCACACATTGACGAGTGTAATAGCTAAATGAACACATTAACGAGTGTAATAGATAAATGCACACATTAACGAGTGTAATAGATAAATGCACACAATAACGAGTGAAATAGATAAATGCACACATTAACGCCTGTAATAGATAAATGCATACATTAACGCCTGTAATAGATAAATGCATACATTATTGAGTGTAATAGATAAATGCATACATTAACGAGTGTAATAGATAAATAAACACATTAAGGAGTGTAATAGATAAATGCACACATTAACGAGTGTAATAGATAAATGCACACATTAACGAGTGTAATAGATAAATGAACACATTACGCCTGTAATAGATAAATGCACACATTAACGAGTGTAATAGATAAATGCACACATTAACGAGCGTAATAGATAAATGCATAAATATGCGAGTGTAATAGAAAAATGCACACATTAACGCCTGTAATAGATAAATGCACACATTTACGAGTGTAAAAGATAAATCCACACATTAACGAGTGTAATAGATAAATGCACACATTTACGAGTGTAAAAGATAAATGCACACATTAACGTCTGTAATAGATAAATGCACACATTAACGTCTGTAATAGATAAATGCACACATTAACGTCTGTAATAGATACATGCACACATTAACGTCTGTAATAGATAAATGCACACATTAACGAGTGTAATAGATAAATGCACACGTTAACGTCTGTAATAGATAAATGCACACATTAACGACTGTAATAGATAAATGCACACATTAACGTCTGTAATAGATAAATGCACACATTAACGAGTGCACAATTGTATTCAAGAATACAAATAATGAATGTCGTGGGTCTCAGACTGCTCTCGACCAGGGTGTAGAGTTTAGGGCGCTGTTGTACCGACACAGACTGATGGGTTCAATCTCTGTGAGTGCTTGTTCAATCCATAACAGTGCCTGAACTCCTGCCTCCCCCCCCCCATTCACCACCAATTCCTTGTTTGTTTGTTAATTTCCGACTTGTTCGACCCTAGGTCTCCATCAAGTTTCTCCAAATCGGTTTTCAGTATTGTCTTGGTAACCATCAAAAGAACCCTAGTACAACCATCAAAAGAACCCTAGTACAACCATCAACAGAACCCTAGTACAACCATCAACAGGACCCTAGTACAACCATCAACAGAACCCTAGTACAACCATTAACAGGACCTTAGTACAACCATCAACAGAATCCTAGTACAAACATCAACAGAACCCTAGTACAACCATCAACAGGACCCTACTACAACCGTCAACAGGACCTTAGTACAACCGTCAACAGGACCCTAGTACAACCATCAAGAAGAGCTTAGTACAACCATCAACAGGACCTTAGTACAACCGTCAACAGGACCCTAGTACAACCATCAACAGAACCATAGTTACACCGTCAACAGGACCTTAGTACAACCGTCAACATGACCCTAGAATAATCGTTAACAGGACCCTAGTACAATCGTCAACAGGAGCCTTGTACAACTATCAACATGACCCTAGTACAACCATCAACAGGACTCGATAAGGGCAAGGTCGGACCCAGTTAGTCCAATTGTCAACCTTTTTGCCCAGCACCCAGTGACTCGCTACTCTGTGTTATACTGACATGCCTAATTCTCATAAACTCTCCTACCCAACTCTGTAGATTGATCTGTTTGTATCTTTCATGTATTGTTTCTCTGTCAGACAAATGATCTTACCACGCATATTTATGTGTTTATTTTTTTCTGTTGTTTGCTGATCCTAAAGTTGCTTATTGCTAGCCCCTCCAGGCGCGGTGACTCGACTGTCTGACGTCCGTTGTGTGGAATCAGACATATCCTGTTTGTATGATCTAGGTTACAGTGGGATGTATGGAGTCTGTTTTCATTAAAGATGCTACGTAATGACGTGTCTTTCATCATATAATAACGTTTCAGTTGACTGTTACTGTCTATTGACTCGTGTCAATGTCAGTAAAGTGACAGTTGTCCCATGTCAATGTTAGTTGTCCCATATCCCTGTCAGTTGACCCATGTCACTGTCATTTGTCTCAAATCACTGTCAGTTGTCCCATGTCACTGTCACTTGTCCCATGTCTCTGTCGGTTGTCCTATGTAACTGTCAGTAATGTTTCAGTTGTCCCATGTCACTGTCACTTGTCCCATGCCTCTGTCAGTTGTCCTATGTCACTGTCAGTAATGTATTAGTTGCCCCATGTCATTGTCAGTAGTGTATCAGTTGTCCTATGTCACTGTCAGTAATGTATTAGTGCTCCATGTCACTGTCAGTAATGTATCAGTTGTCCCATGTCACCGTCAGTACCGTATCAGTTGCCGAATGTCACTGTCAGTAATGTATCAGTTGTCCTATGTCACTGTCAGTAATGTATCAGTTGCCCCATGTCACTGTCAGTAATGTATTATTTGCCCCGTGTCACTTTCAGTGATGTATCAGTTGCCCCATGTCACTGTCAGTAATGTATCAGTTGCCTCATGTCACTGTCAGTAATATATTACTTGCCCCATGTCACTGGCAGTAATGTATCAGTTGCCCCATGTCACTGTGATAATGTATCAGTTGCCCCATGTCACTGTCAGTAATGTATCAGTTGTCCCATGTCACTGTCAGTAATGTATCAGTTGTCCTATGTCACTGTCAGTAATGTATCAGTTGTCCCATGTCACTGTCAGTAATGTATCAGTTGTTCCATGTCACTGTCAGTAATTTATCAGTGGCCCCATGTCACTGTCAGTAATATATCAGTTGTCCCATGTCACTGTCAGTAATGTATCAGTAGTCCCATGTCACTGTCAGTAATGTATCAGTTTTCCCATGTCACTTGTACCATGTCACCGTCAGTAATGTATCAGTTGACCCATGTCACCGTCAGTAACGTATCAGTTGCCCCATGTCATTGTCAGTAATGTATCAGTTTTCCCATGTCACTGTCAGTAATGTATCAGTTGTCCCATGTCACTGCCAGTAATGTATCAGTTATCCCATGTCACTGTCAGTAATTTATCAGTTGCCCCATGTCACTGTCAGTAATGTATAAGTTGCCCCATGTCACTGTCAGTAATGTATCAGTTGTCCTATGTCACTGTCAGTTATGTATCAGTTGTCCTATGTCACTGTCAGTAATGTATCAGTGGTCCCAAATCACCTGTCCCATGTCACAGTCAGTAATGCATCAGTTGACCCATGTCACCGTCAGTAATGTATCAGTTGTACCATGTTACTGTCAGTAATGTATAATTTGTATCATGTCACTGTCAGTAATGTATAAGTTGTCCCATGTCACTGTCAGTAATGTTTCAGTTGTTCCATGTCACTGTCAGTAATGTATAAGTTGTCCCATGTCACTGTCAGTAATGTATCAGTTGTCCATGTCACTGTCAGTAAAGTATCAGTTGTCCATGTCACTGTCAGTAATGTATCAGTTGTCCCATGTCACTTGTCCCATGTCACCGTCAGTAATGTATCAGTTGACCCATGTCACCGTCAGTAACGTATCAGTTGCCCCATGTCACTGTCAGTAATGTATCAGTTGTCCCATATCACTTGTCCCATGTCACCGTCAGTAATGTATCAGTTGACCCATGTCACCGTCAGTAATGTTTTATTTGTCCCATGTCACTGTCAGTAATGTATCAGTTGTCCCATGTCACTGTCAGTAATGTATCAGTTGTCCCTTGTCACTGTCAGTAATGTATCAGTTGCCCCATGTCACTGTCAGTAATGTATCAGTGTCCCATGTCACTGTCAGTAACGTATCAGTTTTCCCATGTCACCTTCAGTAAAGTATCAGTTGTCCCATGTCACTGTCAGTAATTTATCAGTTGTCGCATGTCACTGCCAGTAATGTATCAGTTGTCCCATTTCACTGTCAGTAATGTATCAGTTGTCCTATGTCACTGTAAGTAATGTATCAGTTGTCCCATGTCACTGTCAGTAACATTGTACAACCAAATAGCGACTTAACCAACCAAGAGATGAAAACATTAATACAAACTAGTATCCAAGAAAGGTGGCTGGATACCCACACCAGATTTTCTCCCCAAGACTCACTTCATCGCCTCTCTAGAGACGGACAGTGCATTATATTCAGACTAAGGACTGGGTACAACATATTTCGTCAACATACGTTGAAATATTTTGGTATAGGAAATACGGAGACGTGTCCCTGCAGCGTGGCACCCGAAAATGATGAGCATGTGCTCCAACACTGTCAACTGTATGCTGACAACAGAGACGCAATCTTACCTGTTCCAACCACAATGAAGACAAAACTGTATGGTACACGAGAGGATATGGATTGCACGATAGCTTTCATAAAGGCTACCGGCCTCCTGATATAAGTTTTCTGACAGAAGGATCGAAGAAGAAGAAGACTGTCAGTAACGTATCAGTTGTCCCATGTCACCGTCAGTAATGTATCAGTTGTCCCATGTCACTGTCAGTAATTTATCAGTTGTCCCATGTCACTGTCAGTAATGTATCAGTTGTCCCATGTCACTGTCAGTACCATGCTGTCACAGGTCCATGGCCGGGATGCAAGAGAACACAGTAAGGCTGACAGATGTCTCCTTTGAGCGGATCAGGTCGGCGGGGATGGCAGAGCTCTACGACCTGTCTGTCATGGCCGGCATACAGGACGACGAGCGACTGGTCCACTGCGAGGATCTCCGCGAGCGCCTGGTGCTGGTCAAGCGGAAGATGGAAGGCAGTCACTACACCTGGAAGGTAATGTGTGGCTGTCTGCTGATGTGTGGGGGTATCTGTGTGGCTGTCTGCTGATGTGTGGGGGTCTCTGTGTGGCTGTCTGCTGATTTGTGGGGGTATCTGTGTGGCTGTTTGCTGATGTGTGGCGGTCTCTGTGTGGCTGTTTGCTGATGTGTGGGGGTCTCTGCGTGGCTGTCTGCTGATGTGTGGGGGTATCTGTGTGGCTGTTTGCTGATGTGTGGCGGTCTCTGTGTGGCTGTTTGCTGATGTGTGGGGGTCTCTGTGTGGCTGTTTGCTGATGTGTGGGGGTCTCTGTGTGGCTGTTTGCTGATGTGTGGGGGTCTCTGTGTGGCTGTTTGCTGATGTGTGGGGGTCTCTGTGTGGCTGTTTTCATGATGTGTGGTGGTCTCTGTATGGCTGTTTGCTGATGTGTGGGGGTCTCTGTGTGGCTGTTTGCTGATGTGTGGGGGTATCTGTGTGGCTGTTTGCTGATGTGTGGGGGTCTCTGTGTGGCTGTTTGCTGATGTGTGAGGGTCTCTGTGTGGCTGTTTGCTGATGTGTGGGGGTCTCTGCGTGTGTTTATGTGAGTCAGTCCTGTGGGTATTCAAGGGTGGGTGCTTTGTAAATCAGTCTGTGTGTGTGTGTATGTGTGTGTGTGTGTGTGAGAGAGAGAGAGAGAGAGAGAGAGAGAGAGAGAGAGAGAGAGAGCCTAGTTTCCTTCGGTGTGACCTACATACTAGCACATACCTGCATTTTTCTGTACAGTGTATCCTCCCTAATGTTCCACACTCTTTGTACACACTTGCTAACCAGAACGCTTGTTTCTTCTGTGTGTTGTACTATCCCTAATGTCCCATACATTTGTATTCTCCTGTATGTTGTACCATCCCCCATGTCCCATACATTTGTATTCTCCAGCATGTTGTACCATCCCCCATGTCTCGTAAATTTGTATTCTCCTGTATGTTGTAACATCCCCCATGTCTCGTACATTTGTATTCTCCTGTATGTTGTACCATCCCCCATGTCTCGTACATTTGTATTCTCCTGTATGTTGTACCATCTCCCATGTCTCGTACATTTGTATTCTCCCCTATGTTGTACCATCCCCCATGTCTCGTAAATTTGTATTCTCCTGTATGTTGTACCATCCCCCATGTCTCGTACATTTGTATTCCCCTGTGTGTTGTACCATCCCCGATGTCTCCTACATTTGTATTCTCCTGTATGTTGTACCATCCCCCATGTCTCGTACATTTGTATTCTCCTGTATGTTGTACCACCCCCCCCCCCTGTCCCGTACATTTGTATTCTCCTGTATGTTGTACCATTCACCATGTCCCATTCACTTGTATTTTCCTGTATGTTGTACTATCCCCCGTGTCTCGTACATTTGTATTCTCCTGTATGTTGTACCATTCCCCATGTCCCATACATTTGTATTCTGCTGTATGTTGTGCCATTCACCATGTCTCGTACATTTGTATTCTCCTGTATGTTGTACCATCTCCCATGTCTCGTACATTTGTATTCTCCTGTATGTTGTACCATCCCCCATGTCTCGTAAATTTGTATTCTCCTGTATGTTGTACCATCCCCCATGTCTCGTACATTTGTATTCTCTTGTACGTTGTACCATCCCCCATGTCTCGTAAATTTGTATTCTCCTGTATGTTGTACCATCCCCCATGTCTCGTACATTTGTATTCCCCTGTACGTTGTACCATCCCCCATGTCTCGTAAATTTGTATTCTCCTGTATGTAGTACCATTCACCATGTCTCGTACATTTGTATTCTCCTGTATGTTGTAACATCCCCCATGTCTCGTACATTTGTATTCTCCTGTACGTTGTAGCATCCCCCATGTCCCATACATTTGTATTCTCCTGTATTTTGTACCATCACAATGTCCCATACATTTGTATTCTCCTGCATGTTGTCCAATTCACCATGTCTCATACATTTGTATTCTCCTGTATGTTGTAGCATCCCCTATGTCCCATACATGTGTATTCTCCTGTATTTTGTACCATCACAATGTCCCATACATTTGTATTCCCCTGTATGTTGTACCATCCCCCATGTCCCACATATTTATGTTCTGTATATTGCACCATCACAATGTCCTGTACTCTTGTACACACTTGTATTCTCCTCCATATCCCAAAGACACACAATATCTCTGTGAGTCTGTCAGGAGTTGTTCCACACACTTGTATTCTCCTCCATATCCCAAAGACACACAATATCTCCGTGAGTCTGTGAGGAGTTGTTCCATACACTTGTATTCTCCTCCATATCCCAAAGACACAATATCTCTGTGAGTCTGTCAGGAGTTGTTCTACACACTTGTATTCTCCTCCATATCCCAAAGACACAAAATATCTCTGTGAGTCTGTCAGGAGTTGTTCCACACACTTGTATTCTCCTCCATATCCCATACACACAATATCTCTGTGAGTCTGTCAGGAGTTGTTCCACACACTTGTATTCTCCTCCATATCCCAAAGACACACAATATCTCCGTGAGTCTGTCAGGAGTTGTTCCATACACTTGTATTCTCCTCCATATCCCATAGACACAATATCTCTGTGTGTGTGTCAGGAGTTGTTCCATACACTTGTATTCTCCTCCATATCCCAAAGACACACAGTATCTCCGTGAGTCTGTGAGGAGTTGTTCCACACACTTGTATTCTCCTCCATATCCCATAGACACACAATATCTCCGTGAGTCTGTGAGGAGTTGTTCCATACACTTGTATTCTCCTCTATATCCCATAGACACACAATATCTCTGTGAGTCTGTGGGGAGTTGTTCCACACACTTGTATTCTCCTCTATATCCCATAGACACACATTATCTCTGTGTGTCTGTCAGGAGTTGTTCTACACACTTGTATTCTCCTCCATATCCCATAGCCACACATTATCTCTGTGTGTCTGTCAGGAGTTGTTCCAGTCAGTAAAGGAAGAGACGCAGGTCAAGAGAGAGTCGCTGCTGGAACTCATGAAGACAGTGGAGGAAATGTTCAAGACGTGTCCCCTCGATTCCTTGTCGGAGATCCTCAGAAAGCAGGGCCACGTCCGCAGCCGGGATTTGCTTCAAGAACTTTCCAACAGAATCAAGAACTTAAAGGAGCGGAGAAGCTTAGTCATCATCGCAGGTTTGTCTCTCTATTGCACGTTTTTGTCTTTTTTTCTTTTTTTTTTTCTGTCTGTCTTTCTTTCTTTCTTCTTTCCTTTCTTCCTTCCTTCCTTCCTTTCTTTCTTTCTTTCTTTCTTTCTTTCTTTCTTTCTTTCTTTCTTTCTTTCTTTCTTTCTTTCTTTCTTTCTTTCTTTCTTTCTTTCTTTCTTTCTTTCTTTCTTTCTTTCTTTCTTTCTTTCTTTCTTTCTTTCTTTCTTTCTTTCTTTCTTTCTTTCTTTCTTTCTTTCTTTCTTTCTTTCTTTCTTTCTTTCTTTCTTTATTTTTCTTTCTTTCTTTTTATTTCTCTCTTTTTGCTTTCTTTCTTTTTGTCTTTCTTTCTTTGTCTTTCTTTCTTCCTTTATTTTTTCTTTCTTTCCGTCTTTTATTTTATTTTTTTTTTTTTTTTTTTATTTTTTTTTTTTTTTTTTTTTTTCGTTATTTGCTGCTGCTGTTCTATATGTCTGTCTGTCAAGGAATGAAGGCACAGACGTGCTACTGACTATAGACAGACCATGCAACCATCCCCTGACAAGGAGGACGCCAATGCTGGACCCCACACTCTCCAACATGGAAAGACGGCACCAAGTCTAATAACCGTCTCAATGGGGAACGAAATTGTTTGTTATGTTGAAGCCCGACTGTGGTTGTTGTGGGGGGCCTAATCGAACCCAACCTATGGATTGAACTGGGTGTTTACCGCTCGCTGTGTATGTCCTGGTGTGGTTGGACTGCACCGAGCCGAGAATTCTGGACCGGAGCTGACATACTGCACACGTCACATCCTGCTGCATTTTGGAATATCAGTTCTGGAGGTAGCCGAGGAGACGTGTTCCACAGAGGTGTTCAGGGAAGCAAGAACCCATGACCCAGTGAATCAGTAAAGCAGTTTGTGGGCAACGTTTGCAAAAGCCAGAATTGCCCACACAGGCACAGGTCGAATGCCACCGAGAAGTTGGATCGTTTAAGGGAATGACCCAATAAAATTACTGCAGTGCTGTCCCCGACAACAGATAAGTAGTAAAGAATACTCTGTAGATATGTAAACTTATCAATTGTAATGCATTCTCTTGAATGATCAAAAGTGCCCACCAAAAGATAATCAGTATCTCTTCTGGACATTCATTCCCTCACACTCCTTGCCCACAACATTCACTCCCTATCACTCCTTGCTAACAACATTCACTCCCTCACACTCCTTCCTCACAACATTCACTCCCTCACACTCCTTGCTAACAACATTCACTCCCTCACACTCCTTCCTCACAACATTCACTAACTCACATTCCTTTCTCACAACATTCACTCCTATACATTCCTTCCTCACAACATTCACTCCTATACATTCCTTCCTCACAACATTCACTCCTATACTTTCCTTTCTCACAACATTCACTCCGTCACATTCCTTCCTCACAACATTCACTCCTATACATTCATTCCTCACAACATTCACTCCATCACATTCCTTTCTCACAACATTCACTCCGTCATATTCCTTCCTCACAACATTCACTCCATCACACTCCTTCCTCACAACATTCACTCTCACATGCCTTCCTCACAACATTCACTCCTATACATTCCTTCCTCACAACATTCACTCCTATACATTCCTTTCTCACAACATTCACTCCTATACATTCCTTCCTCACAACATTCACTCCTATACATTCCTTTCTCACAAACACTCACTCCTATACATTCCTTCCTCACAACATTCACTCCTATACATTCCTTTCTTACAACATTCACTCCTATACATTCCTTCCTCACAACATTCACTCCTATACATTCCTTCCTCACAACATTCATTCTTATACATTCATTCCTCACAACATTCACTCCTGTACATTCCTTCCTCACAACATTCATTCTTATACATTCATTCCTCACAACATTCACTCTCACACTCCTTCCTCACAACATTCACTTCCTCACACTTCCTTCAAACAACATTCACTCCCTCACACTCCTTGCTCACAACATTCACTTCCTCACACTCCTTGCTCACAACATTCACTTCCTCACACTCCTTGCTCACAACATTCACTCCCTAACAATACTTGCTCACAACATTCACTACCTAACACTCCTTGCTCACAACATTCACTCCTTGCTCACAACATTCACTCCTCACTCACAACATTCATTCCCTAACACTCTTTGCTCACAACATTCACTCCCTAACACTCCTTGCTCACAACATTCATTCCCTAACACTCCTTGCTCACAACATTCATTCCCTAACACTCCTTGCTCACAACATTCACTCCCTAACACTCCTTGCTCACAACATTCATTCCCTAACACTCCTTGCTCACAACATTCACTCCCTAACACTCCTTGCTCACAACATTCATTCCCTAACACTCTTTGCTCACAACATTCATTCCCTAACACTCCTTGCTCACAACATTCATTCCCTAAAACTCCTTGCTCACAACATTCATTCCCTAACACTCCTCGCTCACAACATTCATTCCCTAACACTCTTTGCTCACAACATTCATTCCCTAACACTCCTTGCTCACAACATTCATTCCCTAACACTCTTTGCTCACAACATTTATTCCCTAACACTCTTTGCTCACAACATTCACTCCCTAACACTCCTTGCTCACAACATTCACTCTCAAACTTCTTGCTCACAACATTCACTCCTCAATACTCCTTGCTCACAACATTCACTCCCCAATACTACTTGCTCACAACATTCACTCCTCAATACTTCTTGCTCACAACATTCACTCCCTAATACTCCTTGCTCACAACATTTACTCTCACACTCCTTGCTCACAATATTCACTCTCTCACATTCCTTCCTCACAACATTCACTTCCTCACATTCCTTCCTCACAACATTCACTCCATCACATTCCTTCACAACAATCACTTCCTCACATTCCTTTTTCACAACATTCACTCCGGTACATTCCTTCCTCACAGCATTCACTCCTATGCATTCCTTCCTCACAACATTCACTCTTATACATTCATTCCTCACAACATTCACTCTCACACTCCTTCCTCACAACATTCACTTCCTCACACTTCCTTCAAACAACATTCACTCCCTCACACTCCTTGCTCACAACATTCACTTCCTCACACTCCTTGCTCACAACATTCACTCGCACACTCCTCGCTCACAACATTCACTCACTAACACGCCTTGCTCACAACATTCACTTCCTCACATTCCTTCCTCACAACATTCACTCACTAACAGCCTTGCTCACAACATTCACTCTCTCACATTCCTTCCTCACAACATTCACTCCATCACATTCCTTCAGAACAATCATTTCCTCACACTCCTTCCTCACAACATTAACTTCCTCACACTTCCTTTAAACAACATTCACTCCCTCGCACTCCTTGCTCACAACATTCACTCCCTCGCACTCCTTGCTCACAACATTCACTCCCTCGCACTCCTCGCTCACAACATTCACTCCCTAACAATACTCACTCACAACATTCACTCCCTAATACTCCTTGCTCACAACATTCACTCCTCAATACTCCTTGCTCACAACATTCACTCCTCAATACTCCTTGCTCACAACATTTACTCTCACACTCCTTGCTCACAACATTCACTCCTCAATACTCCTTGCTCACAACATTTACTCTCACACTCCTTGCTCACAACATTTACTCTCACACTCCCTGCTCACAACATTTACTCTCACACTCCTTGCTCACAACATTTACTCTCACACTCCTTGCTCACAACATTCACTCTCACACTTCTTGCTCACAACATTTACTTTCACACTCCTTGCTCACAACATTCACTCTCACACTCCTTGCTCACAACATTTACTTTCACACTCCTTGCTCACAACATTCACTCCTCAGTACTCCTTGCTCACAACATTTACTCTCACACTCCTTGCTCACAACATTTACTCTCACACTCCTTGCTCACAACATTTACTCTCACACTCCTTGCTTACAACATTTACTCTCACACTCCTTGCTCACAACATTCAGTCTCTCACATTCCTTCCTCACAACATTCACTCCCTCACACTCTTCCTCACAACATTCACTCCCTCACATTCCTTCCTCACAACATTCACTCCCTCACATTCCTTCCTCACAACATTCATCCCCTCACATTCCTTCACAACAATCACTCCCTCTTACTCCCTGCTCACAACATTCACTCTCACACTCCTTGCTCACAACATTCACTCTCACACTCCTTGCTCACATTATCAACTCCCTCACACATTTTCTAACAATATTCACTCCTTCACACTCCTTCCTCACAACATTTACTCCCTCTTACTCCCTGCTCACAACATTCACTCTCACACTGCTTACTCACAACATCAACTCCCTCACACTTTTTCTCTCAACATTCACTCCTTCACACTCCCTTCTCACAACATTCACTCTCACACTCTTTGCTCACAATATCAACTCCCTCACACATTTTCTAACAATATTCACTCCTTCACACTCCTTCCTCACAACATTTACTCCCTCTTACTCCTTGCTCACAACATTCACTCCTTCACACTCATTGCTCACAACATTCACTCCCTCACACTCTCTTCAAACAACATTTACTCCCTCTTACTCCTTGCTTACAACATTCACTCCCTAACACACCCTGCTCACAACATTCACTCTCACACTTCTTGCTTACAACATTCACTCCCTCACACTCCTCGTTCACAAAAACACAACTGGAGTATATGTTAAGAGTAGAACAAACACACAAAACAAAAAAATGCAGCCAGGTGGTTCTTCTAATTTCAAAAACTTGTACTTGGTATATTTAATATAACACTATCACTGGTACTTGGTATATTTAATATAACACTATCACTGGTACTTGGTATATTTAATATAACACTATCACTTGTACTTGGTATATTTAATATAACACTATCACTGGTACTTGGTATATTTAATATAACACTATCACTGGTACTTAGTATATTAAATATAACACTATCACTGGTACTTGGTATATTTAATATAACACTATCACTGGTACTTGGTATATTTAATAAAACACTATCACTGGTACTTGGTATATTAAATATAGCAATATCATTGGTACTTGGTATATTTAATAATAACACCATCACTGGTACTTCACATATTTAATATAGCACTATCACTGGTACTTGGTATATTTAATATAGCACTATCACTGGTACTTAGTATATTTAATATAGCACTATCACTGGTACTTGGTATATTTAATATAACACTATCACTGGTACTTGGTATATTTAATATAACACTATCACTGGTACTTGGTATATTTAATATAACACTATCACTGGTACTTGGTATATTTAATATAACACTATCACTGGTACTTGGTATATTTAATATAGCAATATCATTGGTACTTGTTATATTTAATAATAACACTATCACTGGTACTTCACATATTTAATATAGCACTATCACTGGTACTTGGTATATTTAATTTAGCACTATCACTGGTACTTGGTATATTTAATATAGCACTATCACTGGTACTTGGTATATTTAATTTAGCACTATCACTGGTACTTGGTATATTTAATATAGCACTATCACTGGTACTTGGTATATTTAATATAGCATTATCACTGGTACTTGGTATATTTAATCTTGCACTATCACTGGTACTTGGTATATTTAACTCTTTGAGACCCAAGAAACGCATCATACATTCATAGGTTCCTACCTAGAAGTCCAATGAACGCATGATGCGCCAATTTTTTTACTTTCTTTACTTCCCCCTGGGCATGTGATGCTAAACCCCTTGGGACTCAAAGAGTTTATATATATAGTACAATCCCTATTCTCATGAACATGGTCCTCGCTTCTGCTGAGGAAGGTTAAAACGTTTTGATGACTGACTTTTTCTTTGGTCGCCATTTTGTAATTTATCCAAATGAAAAGCTCTGTGGGATGATAATGAGGATAAGTACCGTCATCAAGTGGAACTGATGTTTTCATTCAGAATAATTCAACTGATGTTTTCATTCAGAATAATTCACATACTTTCTGTCAAAAAGATACACAACTCAATTGTCCCCACTATTCTGATGTCGAGGGAATCAGATTACACAGTAGATCTGCTGACAGCGGTATAAGTCCTCCCAGGGAAAAACAGCTAACAACTAGTCACGAGCCACAGCCTTTTAGTCTCCCAGGGACAAAACAGCTAACAACTAGTCACAAGCCACAGCCTTTTAGTCTCCCAGGGACAAAACAGCTAACAACTAGTCACAAGCCACAGCCTTTTAGTCTCCCAGGGACAAAATAGCTAACAGCTAGTCACAAGCCAGTCTCCCAGGGATAAAATAGCTAACAAGTCACAAGCCAGTCTCCTAGGAATAAAACAGCTAACAACTAGTCACGAGCCAGTCTCCCAGGGATAAAACAGCTAACAACTAGTCACGAGCCACAGCCTTTTAGTCTCCCAGGCACAAAACAGCTAACAACTAGTCACGAGCCAGTCTCCCAGGGATAAAACAGCTAACAACTAGTTACATGCCACAGCCTTTTAGTCTCCCAGGGATAAAACAGCTAACAACTAGTCATGAGCCAGTCTCCCAGGGATAAAACAGCTAACAACTAGTCACATGCCATAGCCTTTTAGTCTCCCAGGGATAAAACAGCTAACAACTAGTCACAAGCCAGTCTGCCAGGGATAAAACAGCTAACAACTAGTCACGAGCCACAGCCTTTTAGTCTCCCAGGGACAAAACAGCTAACAACTAGTCACATGCCAGTCTCACAGTCTCCCAGGGATAAAACAGCTAACAACTAGTCACAAGCCAGTCTGCCAGGGATAAAACAGCTAACAACTAGTCACATGCCACAGCCTTTTAGTCTCCCAGGGATAAAACAGCTAACAACTAGTCACAAGCCAGTCTGCCAGGGATAAAACAGCTAACAACTAGTCACAAGCCAGTCTGCCAGGGATAAAACAGCTAACAACTAGTCACATGCCAGTCTCACAGTCTCCCAGGGATAAAACAGCTAACAACTAGTCACAAGCCAGTCTGCCAGGGATAAAACAGCTAGCAACTAGTCACGAGCCACAGCCTTTTAGTCTCCCAGGGACAAAACAGCTAACAACTAGTCACATGCCAGTCTCACAGTCTCCCAGGGATAAAACAGCTAACAACTAGTCACAAGCCAGTCTGCCAGGGATAAAACAGCTAACAACTAGTCACATGCCACAGCCTTTTAGTCTCCCAGGGATAAAACAGCTAACAACTAGTCACAAGCCAGTCTGCCAGGGATAAAACAGCTAACAACTAGTCATGAGCCACAGACTTTTAGTCTCCCAAGGACAAAACATCTGACAACTAGTCGTGAACCTGTCTCTCAGGACAGAACAGTTAGCTAGTCGCGAGCCTGTCTCCCAGGACAGAACAGTTTACTAGTCGTGAGCCTGTCTCCCAGGACAGAACAGTTAGCTAGTCGCGAGCCTGTCTCCCAGGACAGAACAGTTTACTAGTCGTGAACCTGTCTCTCAGGACAGAACAGTTAGCTATTCGCGAGCCTGTCTCCCAGAACAGAACAGTTAGCTAGTCGCGAGCCTGTCTCCCAGGACAGAACAGTTTACTAGTCGTGAGCCTGTCTCCCAGGACAGAACAGTTAGCTTGTCGCGAGCCTGTTTCCCAGGACAGAACAGTTAGCTTGACGCAAGCCTGTCTCCCAGGACAGAACAGTTAGCTTGACGCGAGCCTGTCTCCCAGGACAGAACAGTTAGCTAGTCGTGAGCCTGTCTTCCAGGACAGAACAGTTAGCTAGTCGTGAGCCTGTCTTCCAGGACAGAACTGTTAGCTAGTCGTGAACCTGTCTCCCAGGACAGAACAGTTAGCTTGTCGCGAGCCTGTCTCCCAGGACAGAACAGTTAGCTTGTCGTGAGCCTGTCTCTCAGGACAGAACAGTTAGCTAGTCGTGAGCCTGTCTTCCAGGACAGAACTGTTAGCTAGTCGTGAACCTGTCTCCCAGGACAGAACAGTTAGCTTGTCGCGAGCCTTTCTTCCAGGACAGAACAGTTAGCTAGTCGTGAGACACAGCTTTCTAGTAGTATTTACCGGCAGAACTGGCATTGCCCATTGGACTTCCCTTTCCTTGCTACCTTACACAGTTGTTTGCATGGAGCAGTTGGCTTGTGTGGGTGTGTTGAGCAGTTGGCTTGTGTGGGTGTGTTGAGCAGTTGGCTTGTGTGGGTGTGTTGAGTGGTTGGCTTGTGTGGGTGTGTTGAGCAGTTGGCTTGTGTGGGTGTGTTGAGCAGTTGGCTTATGTGGGTGTGTTGAGCAGTTGGCTTGTGTGGGTGTGTGGAGCAGTTGGCTTGTGTGGGTGTGTTGAGCAGTTGGCTTGTGTGGGTGTGTTGAGCAGTTGGCTTGTGCCGGTGTGTTGAGCAGTTGGCTTGTGTGGGTGTGTTGTGCAGTTGGCTTGTGTGGGTGTGTGGAGCTGTTGGCTTGTGTGGAGAGGTTGGCTTGAGTGGGTGTGTGGTGCAGTTGGCTTGTGTGGGTGTGTGGAGCAGTTGGCTTGTGTGGAAAGGTTGGCTTGTGTCCCTGTGTGGAGCAGTTGGCTGGTGTGGGTGTGTGGAGCAGTTGGCTTGTGTGGATGTGTGGTGCAGTTGGCTTGTGTGGATGTGTGGAGCTGTTGGCTTATGTGGGTGTGTGGAGCAGTTGGCTTGTGTGGAGCAGCTGGCTTGTGTGGGTGTGTGGAGCTGTTGGCTTATGTGGGTGTGTGGTGCAGTTGGCTTGTGTGGAGCAGCTGGCTTGTGTGGATGTGTGGAGCTGTTGGCTTATGTGGGTGTGTGGAGCAGTTGGCTTGTGTGGGTGTGTGGTGCAGTTGGCTTGTGTGGGTGTGTGGTGCAGTTGGCTTGTGTGGGTGTGTGGTGCAGTTGGCTTGTGTGGGTGTGTGGAACTGTTGGCTTGTATGGAGCAGTTGGCTTGTGTGGAGCAGTTGGCTTGTGTGGGTGTGTGGAGCAGTTGGCTTGTGTCTCTGATGTATCTGATATTCTATTTTTCTTTTCATAGGAGAAACTAACGGAGGCAAGAGTTCCTTCCTGAACTTACTCCTTGGGGAGGACATTCTACCAACAGACGTGCTGCACTGCACCTTCTCTGTCTGCAAGATTGTTTATTCAGATAATTACAGGTAATGCACCTAGGTGATGTGTGTATGTATGTGATTGTGTGTCAGATAAATGTATGTGATTGTGTGTCAGGTAAATGTATGTGATTGTGTGTCAGGTAAATGTATGTGATTGTGTGTCAGGTAAATGTGTGTGATTTTATCTAAAGTAGATGTATGTGATCGCGTGTCAATTAGATGTGTGGGATTGTGTGTCAAGTAGATGTGTGTGATTGTGTGTCAAGTAGATCTGTGCCAAGTTGTGTCAAGATCTGTGCCAAGTTGTGCCAAGATCTGTGCCATGTTGTGCCAAGATCTGTACCATGTTGTGCCAAGATCTGTGCCAAGTTGAGCCAAGATCGGTGCCATTTTGTGTCAAGATCTGTGCCATGTTGTGCCAAGATTTGTGCCATGTTGTGCCAAGATCTGTGCCATGTTGTGCCAAGATCTGTGCCAAGTTGTGCCAAGATCTGTGCCATGTTGTGCCAAGATCTGTGCCATGTTGTGCCAAGATCTGTGCCATGTTGTGCCAAGATCTGTGCCATGTTGTGCCAAGATCTGTGCCATGTTGTGCCAAGATCTGTGCCATGTTGTGCCAAGATCTGTGCCATGTTGTGCCAAGATCTGTGCCATGTTGTGCCAAGATCTGTGCCATGTTGTGCCAAGATCTGTGCCATGTTGTGTCAAGTAAATGTGGGTGTCCATTAGATGTGTGTGAATGTGTGTCAAGCAGTTGGGTGTGATTGTGTGTCAAGCAGTTGGGTGTGATTGTGTGTCAAGCAGTTGGGTGTGATTGTGTGTCAAGCAGTTGGGTGTGATTGTGTGTCAAGCAGTTGGGTGTGATTGTGTGTCAAGCAGTTGGGTGTGATTGTGTGTCAAGCAGTTGGGTGTGATTGTGTGTCAAGCAGTTGGGTGTGATTGTGTGTCAAGCAGTTGGGTGGGCTGTTTTTTCAAGGTGATCTATGTGACTAACATTATATTTTATAGTCTGTCTGTGTGTCTGTCTGTCAAGTTTGTACATGTGAAGTCTGGTTTGTACATGTCAAGTCTGTTCATGTCAGGTTAATACATTTCAAGTTTGTACATGTTGTGATCTGCTATCGGGTGCTGAGAGGCGTAGGTTCCCATTGAAATGTGTAATCAGGTACAAACGAAGGCATCTTAACATAGAGTACATTGCCACCAGCCAAGTGTGGCAGAACGGTATGAACTTCAATGCTTCCAAATGCCACCAGCCAAGTGTGGCAGAACGGTATGAACTTCAATGCTTCCAAATGCCAGTTAACGATGAAGACTAGAGGATATGTTATTGATGTATTTTGTTGACACGCATGATCAAGGAGAAAATGTGCAAATAATAGGACTCTTGGTGAAGACTCACCGAAACACACCAACACAAGCTACCGCACACACACCCTTAGTTACTTCGAATGACATCTTCAATTCAAACGACAGGTCAACAGTCTGACCTTGAAAGTCCGGACGGTCACATCGATCTCCTCTTCTACATTCTGAACAGGGTAATGTCCCTCTTTAATGATTCAGCCTGGAGAATCCTTCCTTGAAGTATACCGGCTTCTTGCCGAGGGCAATAAACAATGTACCAGCTTTCAGCTGAGGTTTCTAGTGGAGTCCACGGGTAGAGCGTCCTCACGGATCCACTGAGACACGTCTGTCTCCTTCAGATTGTATACACTGAATGCTTAGATTACAATTCCTTAAAAACATTACCTATTGTTTTGACGTCCTATTTGCTCACTCAGTACTGGTGCGTTTGAGTGTATATCCACACATGTGATGTCTAGTTTGTACATGTCCAGTTTGTACATGTCAGGTTTGTACATGTAAAGTTTGTACATGTCAGGTCTGTACATGTCAAGTTTGTACATGACAGGTTTGTACATGTCAAGTTTGTATATACGAGGTTTGTACATGTCTAGTTTGTACATGTTAAGTTTGAACCTGTGATGTCTAGTTTGCACATGTGTCGTGGAGTGAACAGCCAACCCTTTACGATGGACGAGTTGTGACGCTGACTTCCCTAGTGGGCACGTCATATTTCAAACTTAAACCCGTCCGGAGGGGTATATAGCCCCTTATATTGATATATACCTTTATCTGGTGAAATATTCATTTCTAGACCCTCTAGTTGCTTTGAGAAATCTTCATTTTCAAACTTGCAACTGTGGGCTGAAGATTTCTGGTGTTTATTTAATTCAGAAATTCCTGTAAGCCTGTTTACTCCTTGGGCATGGATACAGGGACTTCTTTCCTGGAGACGCCAAGCGTAGTTTGAGCGGGATTCTTCAGCCTGATCCCCAAAGTGTCAAGACGTGTATACAGTCTATGAATAAAATTGGCACATTCAAAGAACCAGTTCTATCTTTGAAGAATTTCTAAGCTTGGGATGATACTTCCTTAGAGATCAGGCAGACGTATCACAGTCCAGCCAACAACCAGCAACCCATACCATTCTGGGCACCAAGTATACCCAAAAGTCCTAACTATTTTTGCCACTACCTCAAGTTCAACATGGCAAGAGCTTGTTTGTGAGTTCCAGGACTGGTGGACAATTGCAGACACCTATGTCATCAATCCAGAGAATCAGTCTTCAAGAGCTTTGTTGGGTTCCCACTCAGTTCCTGTGTCCTCACCTGTGAGACAGTCAGCTTGTACCAGATCAAATCGAGGCATAGCTACCTATTTCAGTCCATGGTGATTTGACTGTGGTTGACTCAATAGTATAGTTAGCGATACTATTGAGTCAACCACAATCAAATCACCATGGACTGAGGGGAGCATTGACCTACAAACTGGGATAAGTGATCTCTTATTCACATACATGCTCTCTTCCCACAGCTCCTTGTGATTCCTATGATGAACTCATGTAATATCCAAGAACTACATCTGGCTGCTTCAACATCTGGGTTGTGGCATTGATTCCTGAACTCCATTCACTGAACATTCTTGATGATCTATTCATTAATATATGTATATATATTGTACTTATTACATGCAGAAATTTTCATGGCTGACTTGGGTGTCCCTGTTTCACCATTCTAACTGTCTAGGTTTTATGTTTATGTGAGTAATAAGTGTTATCTGTGTTAACATGGTTATGATAGTATGCTATCATAACCTGGGGGCTACCTTTTTATAGTAGTGGGGGTGTCTAGCCAAGTGTGCCTAGGAATATTATATATTTTGTAGTGCCAAAGCTTGAGTTACCCTACTCCTGAAATAAGTTGAGCGTATATTGGCCACGGGATATCCCTTAGACCAATACGAGCCAACGACTCAACATTATTATTTCAGAGTGCTGTTGGTTCTTAAGGAGAAATCCTTAAATCAGGCACGTGACAACATGTCAAGTTTTTACATGTGATGTCTAGTTTGTACATGTCAAGTTTTTACATGTGACGTCTAGTTTGTACATGTCAAGTTTGTACATGTCAGGTTTGTACAGGTCAGGTTTGTATTTCGCAGCATCCAAACATTGGACCATAGTGGTCAGGTGGAACATTTCCCATGCTCATCACGAGAGGAAGTGAAAGTCATCCTCCGGAGCAAACTGGCTCAACAGGAGGTCAGAGAGCGACTACATGGGTCGCCAATCAAGGAGCTGACCCTGGGCCTGCCTGCAGATATTCTCAAGGTACTCTCAGTTGTATGTAGATATTCTCAAAGTACTCTGTTGTATGTAGATATTCTTAAAGTACTCTCAGTTGTATGTAGATATCCTCAAAGTACTCTGAGTTGTATGTAGATATTCTTGATGTACTCTCAGCTGTATGTAGATATTCTCAAGGTACTCAGTTGTATGTAGATATTCTTGATGTACTCTCAGTTGTATGTAGATATTCTCAAGGTACTCTCAGTTGTATGTAGATATTCTTGATGTACTCTCAGTTGTATGTAGATATTCTCAAGGTACTCTCAGTTGTATGTAGATATTCTCAAGGTATTCTCAGTTGTATATAGATATTCTTGATGTGCTCTCAGTTGTATGTAGATATTCTCAAGGTACTCTCAATTGTGTGTAAATATTATCAAGGTACTCTCAGTTGTAAGTAGATATTCTCAAGGTACTCTCAGTTGTATGTAGATATTCTCAAGGTACTCTCAGTTGTATGTAGATATTCTTGATGTACTCTCAGTTGTATGTAGATATTTTCAAGGTATTCTCAGTTGTATATAGATATTCTTAATGTGCTCTCAGTTGTATGTAGATATTCTCAAGGTACTCTCAATTGTGTGTAAATATTATCAAGGTACTCTCAGTTGTAAGTAGATATTCTCAAGGTACTCTCAGCTGTATGTGGATATTCTCAAAGTACTCTCAGTTGTACATAGATATTCTCAAGGTACTCTCAGTTGTATATAGATTTTCTCAATGTACTCTCAATTTAAAAGGATATTCTTGAAGTACTGTCAGTTGTATATGGATATTCCTGATGTACTCTCAGTTGTATGTCAATATTTCTGATGTTCTCTCAGTTGTATGTCAATATTTCTGATGTTCTCTCAGTTGTATGTCAATATTTCTGATGTACTCTCATTTGTATGTCAATATTTCTGATGTTCTCTCAGTTGTATGTGGATATTCCTGATGTACTCTCAGATTTATGTTAATATTATTTGTGTACTCTCAGTTGTGTCTGGATGTTACTGATGCACTCTCACTTGCATGTTGATATACCTGATGGACTCTTAGATTTATGTGGATATTCTCAATTTACTCTGTTTTATGTGGATATTCTCAGGGTACTCTGTTTTATGTGGATTTCCTCGAGATACTCTTAGTTGTATGTAAATATTCTTGATGTACTCTGTTATATTGCGATATTACTGAAGTTCTTTCAGTTTTATGTTGATATATTCAAGTTAATCTCAGTTTTATGTGGATATTCTCGAGGTATTGTCAGTTGGTTGTATGTTGATTTTCCTGATGTACTCTGTGTTGTGTAGATATCCTTGAGGTACTCTCAGTTGTATGTGAATATTCCTGAAGTACTCTCAGTTTTGTATGGATATATCCAATGTACTCTCAGTTTTGTATGGATATATCTTATGTACTCTCAGTTTTGTATGGATATATCCAATGTACTCTCAGTTTTGTATGGATATACCTGATGCACTCTGTTTTGTATGGATATATCCGACGTACTCTCAGTTTTGTATTTATATACCCGGTGTACTCTCAGTTTTGTATGGATATATCTGATGCACTCTCAGTTTTGTATGGATATATCCGATGTACTCTGTTTTTGTGTGGATGTATCCGAAGTACTCTCAGTTTTGAATGGATATATCCGATGTACTTTCAGTTTTATATGGATATTTTCAGTGTACTCTCAGCTCAGTTGTATGTGGATATTCCCAATGTACTCTCAGTTTTATATGGATATTCATAAGGTACTCTCAATTTTATGAGGATATTCTCAAGGTACTTCCAGCTGTATGTGAATATTCCTGATGTATTCTCAGTTTTGTATATTTTGAATGTAGTCTCAGTTTTATGCGGATATCTTGATGCACTCCCAGTAGTGTGTGGATATTCCAGATAAACTCTCATTTATGTGGACATTCCTGGGTCTCCGAACACTTTTAGTACCAGTACTTTTTCTTTTCTTTTTGCTTTTGTTTGTTTTGTTTACAAAATATTAAATGCCCACATTGTCTCCGAACCTTGTGTGAATATAAATTATATATTTTTTAATATATAATAACTCAGAAATTTTTTTATTTGGTTGCTTTTTTGGTACAAGGCAAAGAGACAAATATGAGGGTAATTCCAAAATCAAACTCCGATTGGCTGGTTAAAAAAAATAAAAACAGCCATTTGCCATAGCAACACTGTTTATTGTTTGCATCATTCATTAGTAGTCTTTTACCTCACTACAGATAAACCCTACAGTTGCATTTCTTCAGTGATTCATGAATCAGTTTTTTTTTTTTAAATCGCAAATGAATAAACATGTTGATTGTTACTGCATTTCCCATCAGCTGTGAAATTCATGGTGTGATTCCATTTCTTCAGAATGTCGCCGAGATTCATCATCTATCGTGTTGTGTTGATATTTTATAAGTGACAGTTCTGTGAGGGATTGGTGCAGGAAATTCAGAGATGGGGGTAAAGTTGTGCATAATGAGGTTTTTGAACGTCTCCCCTTCCCTCTATACCCTCATTGTGCACATTTTTAAACCTATCTCAGAATTTCCTGCACCAGTCCCTCACAGAACTGTCACTCATCACTTTATCACTGTAAATATGACACAACTGATGATGAATCTTGGCAACATTTTGAACCTATGAATCGAAAACGAATCACAACACCGATTTCCCAACTGGCGGGAAAGGAAATTATAGTGTCTATGTTTATTCAGCATGATTCATGAGCCACTAAACACATGCAACTGTAGGTTGATATGTAGTGAGCTAAAAGATAACTGAATGATACAAGCAATAAAGGGCGTTTCTATGCTAAACGTTTTTTTTTTAAACCATCTGATCAGAGGTTGATTTTTGATTAACCTACACATCACATACAAGACAAAAATAGGTTTGTTGTTTTGTTTTTAAATATTTTAATACTTATACCAAAAAGAAGAGGGGGAGATAATATCAGAGTAACCCTACAACTACAGGATGGGTCAATGGTCGAGGTGACCAGAAGAGCTAGAACCAGAACCTATGATATCCCCTGATACCTAAAGTGGTATATGAAGCAGTGAAGAAGAAGGAGAAGAAAACCTATGCATATGTAATGCATTGTTATAAAGCCTACATATTGTATTGTAATATAAGAAAACCTATATATGCTTATTGCATTGTTAGATGCCTACGTATTGTATTGTAGTGTCAGAAAACATTTATACATTTATATATATATATTTGGTCATGCACAGAGTGGGGTCACCCTGGTTGATACGCCAGGCATAGGAGAGGATGAGAAAATGGATAACGTGACCATGAACTTTGTCAGGTTTAACCATGCCTCAGCATTTATTTATATCATCAAATCAGACACAGCGGGAGGTGTCCAGGAAGACAGGGTGAGTTATCTTTTCTTCAATGCACATTTGTTGGTACATGTTGTAGATATTGTTGTTATGTGTTTTAGACCGTTAGTATATGTTAAAATAGTGCAGGTAGATAATGCTGGTACATTTTATACATATTTTTTTTACATTTTGTTGGTACACTTTATAGATATTGTTGGTACATTTTGTAGATATTGTTGGTACATTTTGTAGATATTGCTGGTACATTTTGTAGATATTGTTGGTACATTTTGTAGATATTGCTGGTACATTTTGTAGATATTGTTGGTACATTTTGTAGATATTGTTAGTATATTTTGTAGATATTGCTGGTACATTTTGTAGATATTGCTGGTACATTTTGTAGATATTGTTGGTACATTTTGTAGATATTGTTAGTACATTTTGTAGATATTGTTAGTACATTTTGTACATATTGTTGGTACATTTTGTAGATATTGTTGGTACATTTTGTAGATATTGCTGGTACATTTTGTAGATATTGCTGGTACATTTTGTAGATATTGCTGGTACATTTTGTAGATATTGTTGGTACATTTTGTAGATATTGTTGGTAAATTTTGTAGATATTGTTGGTAAATTTTGTAGATATTGTTGGTACATTTTGTAGATATTGTTGGTACATTTTGTAGATATTGTTGGTACATTTTGTTGATATTGCTGGTAAATTTTGTGGATATTGTTGGTACATTTTGTAGATATTTTTAGTACATATTGTAGATGTTGGTTCATTTTAAATATATTGTTGGTACATTTTGTAGATATTGTTGGTACATTTTGTAGATATTGTTGGTACATTTTGTAGATATTGTTGGTACATTTTGTAGATATTGCTGGTACATTTTGTAGATATTGTTGGTACATTTTGTAGATATTTTTAGTACATTTTGTAGATGTTGGTTCATTTTAAATATATTGTTGGTACATTTTGTAGATATTGTTGGTACATTTTGTAGATATTGTTAGTATGTGTTCTAGATATTGGTAGTATATGTTGCAATAGTAGATGCATATACTTTTGGTACATGTTGTAGATATTGTTGGTACAAATAGAATTTAGTTGGTACATGTTGTAGATATTGTGAGTATATATAATATAATACTAGACATATATACTGATGGTATACATTATAGATTTTGTTGGTGCATGTTGTTGTATATAATGTTGGCCTTCAAATTCAGTAGAAACATCAGAACAAATTCACATATCTCCAGCATAAATACCATGTAAACTAGTACATGAGCTACACAACCACAGATGACAAGAGATATTGTGTTGAGTTTCCAGCCAACAAATTTTCATCTACACAACAACTGATGTCAAGGGTCCCTGGGTTGAGTTTCTAACTAACAAATCTTGATCTACACAAGCACAGATTACAGGTGATTTTGAGTTAAATTTCCAGCCAATACATCTTGGTCTACACAAAAACAGAAGACAAGTAATCTCGAGATTAATTTCTAACTAACAATTTTTGATCTACTCAGTAACAGGTGACAAGCAATCTTGAGTTGAATACCTAACCAACAAATCTTGATCTGCACAATTACAGGTGACAAGTAATCTTGAGTTGAATTTCAAACCAACCAATCTAAATCTACACAATAACAGATGACAAGTAATTGTGAGTTGAATTTCTAACCAACCAATCTAAATCTACACAATAACAGGTGACAAGTAATCTTGAGTTGAATTTCAAACCAACCAATCTAAATCTACACAATAACAGATGACAAGTAATTGTGAGTTGAATTTCTAACCAACCAATCTAAATCTACACAATAACAGATGACAAGTAATCTTGAGTTGAATTTCAAACCAACCAATCTAAATCTACACAATAACAGATGACAAGTAATTGTGAGTTGAATTTCTAACCAACCAATCTAAATCTACACAATAACAGATGACAAGTAATCTTGAGTTGAATTTCTAACCAACCAATCTAAATCTACACAATAACAGATGACAAGTAATCTTGAGTTGAATTTCTAACCAACAAATCTGTTCATCCCCAGCTGCTCAGTTTCCTGCAGGCCATTAAAGAAAGATACTCAGGAGACGCGGAAATAGAGGCTTTCGATCCCCGAGCAGCCATGTTTGTTTGCCATCGCTGGGACAATATTGAGGAGCATCAAAGAGACAAGGTCAAACAAAATGCCCTTCAAAAACTGGAATTTGTGTGGCCAGGTTTTCAGCCATCTCAGACCTACTTCTTCTCTACAACAGACACAATGAAACATTTCCCAGTTGGCAAGTTGTTGTTTTATACACTCATATAATCTTGCTTGACTAAAAGTAACCTTAACAAATGGTAAAAATGTATTTGTGGATAATTCTAGTTGTCTTTTTTACATTTGTGCCTATTGACTGGAATGTTGGTGGGGAAGTAGGTGCAGGGGAATCTTCAAGCTTTCAGGTTAGCATCTCTACCATAAAATCAGAATAGACTCTTCTACAGAATGGAATCAAATGTTGAATTTTGAATTGAGAATCGGCCTCAAAGCACTCGGGACACTCCCATAAGCACTCGCTCCACATCCTCAGCAGCAAGCAAAAAGTTCACATTTTGATGGTACCAGTAACTGTCTGATTGTATATCTATCTCACCTTTCCCTTGAGTGTTGAGTATTGCCCAGATCACTTGGAATCAAATTATTGATGAAGTATAGTTTAGTGAGTGAAGTATAGTTTAGTGGGTGAAGTATAGTTTAGGGGGTGAAGTATAGTTTAGTGGGTGAAGTATAGTTTGGTGGGTGAAGTATAGTTTAGTGGGTGAAGTATAGTTTAGTGGGTGAAGTATAGTTTGGTGGGTGAAGTATAGTTTTGTGGGTAAAGTATAGTTTAGTGGGTGAAGTACAGTTTAGTGGGTGAAGTATAGTTTGGTGGGTGAAGTATAGTTTGGTGGGTAAAGTATAGTTTGGTGGGTGAAGTATAGTTTAGTGGGTGAAGTATAGTTTAGTGGGTGAAGTATAGTTTGGTGGGTGAAGTATAGTTTTGTGGGTAAAGTATAGTTTAGTGGGTGAAGTACAGTTTAGTGGGTGAAGTATAGTTTGGTGGGTGAAGTATAGTTTGGTGGGTAAAGTATAGTTTAGTGGGTGAAGTATAGTTTAGTGGGTGAAGTATAGTTTAGGGGGTGAAGTATAGTTTAGTTGGTGAAGTACAGTTTAGTGGGTGAAGTATAGTTTAGTGGGTGAAGTATAGTTTAGTGGGTGAAGTATAGTTTAGTGAGTGAAGTATAGTTTAGTGGGTGAAGTATAGTTTAGTGGGTGAAGTATAGTTTAGGGGGTGAAGTATAGTTTAGTGGGTGAAGTACAGTTTAGTGGGTGAAGTATAGTTTAGTGGGTGAAGTATAGTTTAGTGGGTGAAGTATAGTTTGGTGAATGAAGTATAGTTTGGTGGGTGAAGTATAGTTTGGTGAGTGCAACAACTGCAGACAGAGACTTATCACTTATGCTTAGGTCCTAACCACTGATGCCCTTGTGGTGGGTATCAGGTACTATGGTATTTATATTTGTTTCCATGATAGGATGTTGTATGTATGTTTTTGTTGAGGTTTTTGTGTGTGTGTGCGTTCCTTAACCAGGAAATCTGTGTTTCCCAGATGCCCAGTTTGTCACAGACAGTTTCATGACGCTGCTGAAAGGCATGAAGAAACTGTTTGATCGAGCCAGCCACAATGCCATTAAACACCAGTACCTGTAAGTTGTTTCAGCCATCTGTACTTTGTTGTAGGAGTAGTCACCTGACTTATCTGTCATGTGTAACCATTGTCAGTAAGTGACATTTGACATATCAGTCCTCTGTAATTTTTGTTTGTGACTATCACCCATGATATATTAACCTTATTTAATTAATTTTTAGTGAGGGTTATGCGACGCATCAATGATTACTGCAATCTAATCATTGTCCATGACAGTTACCCCTGACATATAAACTGTATGTAATCATTGTCAGTGACAGTCACCCCTGACATATAAACTGTATATAATCATTTTCTGTGACAGTTACCTCTGAAATATAAACTGTATGTAATCAATGTCAGTGACAGTTACCCCTGACATATAAACTGTATGTAATCAATGTCAGTGACAGTTACCCCTGACATATAAACTGTATGTAATCAATTTATGTGACAGTTACCCCTGACATATAAACTGTATGTAATAATTGTCAGTGACAGTTACCCCTGACATATAAAATGTATGTAATAATTGTCAGTGACAGTTACCCCTGACATATAAACTGTATGTAATCAATGTCAGTGACAGTTACCCGAGACATATAAACTATATGTAATAATTGTTAGTGACAGTTACCCCTGACATATAAACTGTATGTAATAATTGTCAGTGACAGTTACCCCTGACATATAAACTATATGTAATCATTGTCATTGACAGTTTAACCTGACATATAAACTGTATGTAATCATTGTTGGTGACAGTTACCCCTGACATATAAACTGTATGTAATCATTGTCTGTGACAGTTACCACTGACATATAAACTGTATGTAATCAATGTCAGTGACAGTTACCCCTGACATATAAACTGTATGTAATCATTGTCAGTGACAGTTACCTCTGACATATAAACTGTATGTAATCACTAATACTGTCAGTCACCCCTGACAAAAAAACCATAAGTAACCATTGCCACTGACAGTTAACTGACAAATAGATGATTTGTGTAATCATTGTCAGTGACAGTCATCCGGATATTCACTTCTCAAATTTGAGCATTCTCATACTGTCATTGCGTGGAGGAAGCAGGTTTGAATCCTAGTTGATGGTTTCCAATCACTTTGTTGTCTAGAGTTTCCCCTGATCTGTAGCTGCTTCCTTCACTACTGTAGGTGCAACACTGCTGTAGGTGCAACATTGCTGTAGGTGCAACGCTGCTGTAGGTGCAACACTGCTGTAGGTGCAACACTGCTGTAGGTGCTTCCTTCACTGCTGTAGGTGCAACACTGCTGTAGGTGCTTCCTTCACTGCTGTAGGTGCAACACTGCTGTAGGTGCAACACTGCTGTAGGTGCAACACTGCTGTAGGTGCTTCCTTCACTGCTGTAGGTGCAACACTGCTGTAGGTGCTTCCTTCACTGCTGTAGGTGCAACACTGCTGTAGGTGCAACACTGCTGTAGGTGCATCAGTGCTGTAGGTGCTTCCTTCACTGCTGTAGGTGCAACACTGCTGTAGATGCTTCCTTCACTGCTGTAGGTGCAACACTGCTGTAGGTGCTTCCTTCACTGCTGTAGGTGCAACACTGCTGTAGGTGCTTCCTTCACTGCTGTAGGTGCAACACTGCTGTAGGTGCTTCCTTCACTGCTGTAGGTGCAACACTGCTGTAGGTGCAACACTGCTGTAGGTGCAACACTGCTGTAGGTGCAACACTGCTGTAGGTGCTTCCTTCACTGCTGTAGATGCAACACTGCTGTAGGTGCAACACTGCTGTAGCTGCTTCATTTACTGCTGTAGGTGCAACACTGCTGTAGCTGCTTCCTTCACTGCTGTAGGTGCAACACTGCTGTAGCTGCTTCCTTCACTGCTGTAGGTGCAACACTGCTGTAGGTGCAACACTGCTGTAGGTGCAACACTGCTGTAGGTGCAACACTGCTGTAGGTGCAACACTGCTGTAGGTGCAACACTGCTGTAGGTGCAACACTGCTGTAGGTACAACACTGCTGTAGGTGCTTCCTTCACTGCTGTAGGTGCAACACTGCTGTAGGTGCTTCCTTCACTGCTGTAGGTGCAACACTGCTGTAGGTGCAACACTGCTGTAGGTGCTTTCTTCACTGCTGTAGGTGCAACACTGCTGTAGGTGCTTTCTTCACTGCTGTAGGTGCAATACTGCTGTAGGTGCTTCCTTCACTGCTGTAGGTGCAACACTGCTGTAGGTGCTTCCTTCACTGCTGTAGGTGCAACACTGCTGTAGGTGCAACACTGCTGTAGGTGCTTCCTTCACTGCTGTAGGTGCAACACTGCTGTAGGTGCTTTCTTCACTGCTGTAGGTGCAACACTGCTGTAGGTGCTTTCTTCACTGCTGTAGGTGCTTCCTTCACTGCTGTAGGTGCAACACTGCTGTAGGTACAACACTGCTGTAGGTGCTTCCTTCACTGCTGTAGGTGCAACACTGCTGTAGGTGCTTCCTTCACTGCTATAGGTGCAACACTGCTGTAGGTGCTTCCTTCACTGCTATAGGTGCAACACTGCTGTAGGTGCTTTCTTCACTGCTGTAGGTGCAACACTGCTGTAGGTGCAACACTGCTGTAGGTGCAACACTGCTGTAGGTGCAACACTGCTGTAGGTGCAACACTGCTGTAGGTGCAACACTGCTGTAGGTGCAACACTGCTGTAGGTGCACCACTGCTGTAGGTGCTTCCTTCACTGCTGTAGGTGCAGTCAGTACTTTTGCATTTATGTTTCATGTATGTTGTGAGCCGTAGCAACATTTGTTTGTTTTTGCCAGGCAGTGGCCTGTGCATTTTTGCTTCATTTGTAGACTGAAAGGATGGCGTGACACTGTGAGCTGCTTAATTCATTTGGAATGTTTTTCTACTGTGACCAATGTGGTGGTGAATTGTGGATTCAAAAAATGGCGCAATGCCTGTTGTCACAAATTGGTGATGCCATTTATGATTAAAATTGATCGCCTGTACAACTGCTGATCTGTTGGTGACTTCTACTACCATCCATGATGAACTGCATTTCTATTGTCAGACTGTTTGCGTTAGCACTTCGGATGGCTACCGTATGCTTTTATTGCTTGTGTGTGCTAGTGCATATGCTGAGACAGCAGTCTGTCAGACTTTCCACATGGGACTGTGATAAACTTTTTGTGTGTTTTTTGTTGGCCCAGGAGCGGATCATCTATGGGGTGACTCGTTTGCTATGAAGCTGAAACTAAGATTACCAGATTAGTGTAGTTCATAAGTGTATGTTCATAAATATTTGTTCATTAAAATATGTTCATGAGTGTATGTATGTTCATGAGGGTATGTTCATGAATATATGTTCATGAGTGTGTGTGTCATGAGAATATGTTTATGAGTGTATGTTCATGAATATATTATGTTCATGAGTGTGTGTTCATGAGAATATCTTCATGGGTGTATATTCATAAATATATGTTCATAAGTGTGTGTTCATGAATATATCTTCATGAGTGTATATATGTTTATGAGTGTATGTTCATGAAAGTACATTGATGAGTGTATATTAATGAGTATATATTCATGAGTCTACACTGAGTCTATGTTTATGAATCTACGCTGGAATCGAACTTGTACCTCCTTGTGTGACCATGTTTCTGTTTGGCCTGGCCAGGTGGTTGAAGCATATGCTGCCATCAGCGTCCCATTTCTTGAAGTCCATGATTACCCACTGCATCCACAACAATGATGAGCTGGAGATTTACTTCCGCAACGTTGTCCACAAGCAGAACAGACTCATGGCCTCCTCCACAGAAAATTCCATAAATCTGCAGGTTTGTTCTCTTGCTGGAGCATTTTCTTGAATTTGATTCGAATTTTTAAATTTCTATGCAAACTGAAACACACATACAGAAGGACACACCCAGAGACATATAGGCATGTACAAACACAGATACAAGCGTATACTTAGATATACATAGACACACAGCTGCTTGTCTCCGAAGCTAGAACTGTGAACATGCTCTGTCTCTGACATCATCTTATGCTACTGTCAAATATTGTTCTCATGTCTGTCTCTGAAATGTCTGTCTGTATTTCCCCACAGACCGAGCTGAATGAATTATCCCAGGATCTCAAGAGAGTCATAGTGGACGACCTCAACTTTGACACCATAAGTGTGCGCAGTGAGCTCAATGATTTTGATGCCATTTTGTCCATGTGCTCTGGGGACAATTTCTTACATGACAAGTAGGTAGCCATGTTGAAATCATGTTTTGACTTGTTACAGATATGTTGTCTTGTTTTGAGGCTTATGGTGCTGGTCACATGTGTTTATACAGCACCTGGTGGGTTGGTGGGGATGGGGGGGGGGGGGGTGTCTTATAGTATGTAGCCACCCGTATTTCCTGGAGCATTTGCTGGAATCCATTTTCTCAAGAAACTTACCAGAGGCTCAAATATGCATTTAAACTAGGCTTCCCTGGTGATTTATTGAACCTTTGACCACTGGGTTGACATGTCTGACATGCCTCTGTGTTACCACGAATCTTTTTTTTTTTAATGGGTCAAAAGAAATGTTCACACTGTTCTCTGGTGATTTAGTTTATTGTTGATTAGAATGTTCTCTCTTCTACAGTTTAGTTTATTGTTGATTAGAATGTTCTCTCTTCTACAGTTTAGTTTATTGTTGATTAGAATGTTCTCTCTTCTACAGTTTGGTTTATTGTTGATTAGAATGTTCTCTCTTCTACAGTTTAGTATTTTTGGTTAGAATGTTCTCTCTTCTACAGTTTGGTTTATTGTTGATTAGAATGTTCTCTCTTCTAAAGTTTAGTTTTTTGTTGATTAGAATGTTCTCTCTTCTACAGTTTGGTTTATTGTTGATTAGAATGTTCTCTCTTCTAAAGTTTAGTTTTTTGTTGATTAGAATGTTCTCTCTTCTATAGTTTGGTTTATTGTTGATTAGAATGGTTATCTTCTACAGTTCAGTATTGTTGATTAGAATGTTCTCTCTTCTACAGTTTAGTTTAATGTTAATTAGAATGTTCTCTCTTCTAAGGTTTAGTTTTTTGTTGATTAGAATGTTCTCTCTTCTACAGTTTGGTTTATTGTTGATTAGAATGTTCTCTCTTCTAAAGTTTAGTTTTTTGTTGACTAGAATGTTCTCTCTTCTATAGTTTGGTTTATTGTTGATTAGAATGGTTATCTTCTACAGTTCAGTATTGTTGATTAGAATGTTCTCTCTTCTACAGTTTAGTTTAATGTTAATTAGAATGTTCTCTCTTCTAAGGTTTAGTTTTTTGTTGATTAGAATGTTCTCTCTTCTACGGTTTAGTTTATTGTTGATTAGAATGTTCTCTCTTTTACAGTTTAGTTTATTGTTGATAAGAATGTTCTCTCTTCTATAGTTTAGTTTTTTGTTTAATAAAATGTTCTCTCTTCTATAGTTTAGTTTTTTGTTTAATAAAATATTCTCTCTTCTACAGTTTGGTTTATTGTTGATTAGAATGTTCTCTCTTCTAAAGTTTGGTTTATTGTTGATTAGAATGTTCTCTCTTCTACAGTTTGGTTTATTGTTGATTAGAATGTTCTCTCTACTAAAGTTTAGTTTTTTGTTGATTAGAATGTTCTCTCTTCTACGGTTTAGTTTATTGTTGATTACAATTTTCTCTCTTCTACGGTTTGATTTATTGTTCTTCTTCTTCTTTCGTTCGCATGAAATAAATTGTCTATATCTGCAAAGCTGTCTCTAGTATGAATTTCACTGTCTTTTGTAATTCACTAAGCGGCCCGTAAAGTTTGACTTCCACAAGTGTCTCTTTTGGCCAAAGGTTTTGCCTGAAAGCGTTGAATCTGGGACAGTCTTGAAGGATGTGATCTGTTGTTTCAGGTGCCAGTCCACAAGTACACATGGCTGATTGGCCAATCTTAAATTTGTTGTACATGTGGGAGCGAAGTCGATTGTGCCCTGTTCTAAGGCGAAGGATAATGACTTGCTCTGGTCTGTCCATAATATGGTAATCATCTTGTGCCAGTTTCGGTGGCATTCTGATTGATTTGATCATTCTCTTCTTCTGTTGATAAGAGACTGGTATGTGAGGTTGTTCTTCAGTTGCACCTTCCTTAGCTAGTTTATCAGCTTTTTCGTTTCCGGGAACTCCACAGTGGGAAGGTATCCACTGCATTACTAATTTACAGCGGTTGCCTAGTTCGGATAATAGTGTCTGTATGCTTGGTAATTTTCCAGACTGGAGTGACTGAAGTACTGCTTTTGCATCTGTCAGGAATACCACTGGTTGTGAAAAATACCCTGTATTTAGTAGTTTCTCTACCGCTATCTTGATGGCTTGAACTTCTGCATCATAGTTGTGACAGTGCTTTCCCGTTGGTAATTTGGCTGTATCCCTGGTATTATTAGGATACTCAATGTACACTCCTGCACCTCCGTTTCTGACTGCGCTTTCTGTTGACCCATCTGTGTAAACACGGACCCAAAGGTTCTTCGGGTATTCATCATCAAGTAGACTGAGGGTGGCTGTTTTGCGCTGCACACTGTTTTGTTCTTCCTTGTCAAATACCCCTTTCACTTCAGTCTTGATGTGTATTGGAAACTTATACTCCTCTCTCCAGGGGGTCCGTTCTGGGACAGCATTTAAGGATCTATCAGTTGCAGGTAAATCAGTGGTTTGTCTGCCGAGCCGTTTGGCCTGGTGGATAAAACTTCTCTTTAGTCGTCCCAAAGCTAAATTTTTGAATCTTTCATTCATAGGGTGACTGGGCATACTAAGAAACTTTTCTGCTTGTAAAAGCATCTTGGTGTCTCTGCGTTCACTCAGTGCTTGGGTCATCCCCATTTTCTCCATCACAGCTATAGGTGTTGATTTCATACTGCCTGTGGTAACTCTGAGTGCTTGATTTTGCACTTTATTTAATTCTTGCAATGTGGTTTTTGATGCCGAACTCCATGCTGTTGATCCGTATTCAAGATGTGGTCGAACACTTTGTTGGTAAACTTTCCTAAGTATTTTCCTGCTAGCACCCCATGTGGTTCCACTTAGTTTTCTCAGAATGGCTACCCTCCTTCTGGCTTTGGTTGCTGCCTTGTTGATGTGTTTTCTCCATGTTAATCTATCATCAAATGTTACGCCGAGGTATGTGGGCTCCTTATCCTCTCTCAGGGGTACTCCATTTATGTGCATGACACCTGATTTTTGTTTAGGAGAAAGGGTAAAGATGGTGGTGCTGCATTTGCCTATATTGATGCTGACACACCATTTGCCGGCCCAATCAGCCATTGCATCTATGGCTCTTTGTAGCAGTCTGGTGGCCACTGTCGCATTTTCATTTGTACACCAGAGTACCAAGTCATCAGCATACATTGCAGCTTTAATTCCATGGGGTAGTTCAGAAAGCAGGTCGTTGATATAGACTAGGAAGAGTGTGGGGGACAGGACACCTCCTTGTGGGACGCCATGGCGCAGCAAAACTTTCTTACTCTTAAGTCCATCTATCTGTACTCAGGATCTTCTGTTATACAAGTATGCTTTCACCCATTTGTACATACTCCCATTCACCCCGCAGTCTCTCAGTTTCTTCAGTAGACCTTCTTTCCAGACCTTGTCAAAGGCTTTCTTCAGATCTATCCATGCCGTTAGCACTAGCTTCTTTTCCTGGAAGGCATCCTCAATTTCTTGTGAAAGGTAAGTTGTCTGGTCTTCTGTGGAGTAAGTAAAAAAAAAAAAAGTAAAGTTCCCTTTTCACGCCTTTCGGCGCATCGGGCATATGGGCAGAGCGTCCCATATTTTTACAGATCATCAGCACTCTGTGGGTAATGTGGTCAGCATTACGCCGGCTGTCTTTACTTTCCCAGGACAGCCCATCCTGGTACCCATTTTAGGCTGGGTCAACCTGCGACGTCCCATACCACGATAAAAATCCACGCAGCCTGCAGTGGGTTTCGATCGCGGTATGCTGGCTTACGAGTCGGACTCGCAACGCCTTAGCCACGGACGCCGCTTCTTCTGTGGAGTAGCACTGTCTAAATCCTGCCTGCTGCGGCGTGAAAATGTTTTCACTTTCCAAGTACCATTGGATTCTAAGGTTGACAATACGTTCCATTGTTTTACAGAGGCAGCTGGTAAGACTGATAGGTCTATAGTTGGAGGCATCAGAACTGTCCTTTCCTGGTTTAAGCAGAAGTATTGTGATTGCTTCTCTCCATATTTGAGGAACTTTGCCACTTGTCCAACAATGATTAAAGATCTGTAGCAGCTTTTTTTTGGCCGTTGTTCCAAGGTTCTTGATCATTTCGTTGGTGATTCCATCAGTTCCAGGTGATTTTCCCATTTTCAGCTTTGATATTGCTAATTCTAACTCGCTGGATGTAAATGCTGCCACCAGTGCCTCAGGAATTATATCTTTTTGTCTTGTATGTTGTTTGTTTTCTTGAACCTCTCGCTGTTTCTCTGGGCTGACATTAATGTTGCTGTCTTCTGCAAAGGAATCTGCAAAGTGGTCAGCTGCCTGTTTTCTTGTTAGGATGGCTCCCTCTTTGCATAGTGCAATATTACCATTTCTTCCTGTATTCTCATCATTAATTTGCTTAATTAACCTCCACAGCTTCCTTGTGTCTCTTTCAAAGTTTAGAGACTTTGTCTTTTCCTGCCAGCTTCTCCGTCTAGCCTGCAGTTTGGCTCTTTGAAATTTGGCCTTTGAATGTTGGTAGTTGTTAAACTGCTCTTGACAAGGTCTGGTCTCAGCTTGTTTTCTTTCTGTTTCCATATTGTTGTGCAGTTGCTCCAGATCGCAATTCCAGTACGGTTTGTATTGTTTACTGATTTATTGTTAATTAGAATGTTCTCTCTTCTACAGTTTGATTTATTGTTGATTAGAATGTTCTATCTTCTACAGTTTGATTTATTGTTAATTAGAATGTTCTCTCTTCTACAGTTTAGTTTATTGTTGATTAGAATGTTCTCTCTTCTACAGTTTGATTTATTGTTAATTAGAATGTTCTCTCTTCTACAGTTTAGTTTATTGTTGATTAGAATGTTCTCTCTTCTACAGTTTGATTTATTGTTAATTAGAATGTTCTCTCTTCTACAGTTTAGTATTTTTGGTTAGAATGTTCTCTCTTCTACAGTTTAGTATTTTTGGTTAGAATGTTCTCTCTTCTACGGTTTAGTTTATTGTTAATTAGAATGTTCTCTCTTCTACAGTTTAGTTTATTGTTGATTAGAATGTTCTCTCTTCTACAGTTTAGTTTATTGTTGATTAGAATGTTCTCTCTTCTACAGTTTGATTTATTGTTGATTAGAATGTTCTCTCTTTTACGGTTTAGTTTATTGTTGATTGGAATCATTTATCTTCTACAATTTAATTTATTGTTGATTAGAATCATTTATCTTCTACAATTTAGTTTATTGTTGATTAGAATGCGTTCTCTTCTGCAGTTTAGTTTATTGTTGATATTAAAAAAAATATCACTTAATATATATAATTTAAAAATTAAAAAAAATGTCTTTGTTGCCACATTTGATTATAAGAACTCATTAACATAAAAAATCTGCCTGTAATTGAATGTTGTAGAGCAAACAGACGACTGCTTGATGAGATGATCATACGCTGCCTGCTCAAATATGTTGATGAACATGTCCATGATCGCAATATAGTTACAGAAATGGAATCTCAGATTCTCTCAGCTGTAAGTATATGTGTGTCTGTGTGTGTGTGTGAGAGGGAGAGAGAGACAGAGAGAGAGAGAAAGTGTGTATGTGTGCATGCGTATGTGCATGTGAGTGTGTGTGGGCGCACTCGCGCACTTAAGTGGGGGAGGGGGGGCATCGGTACTGTCATCCCTGAGTACCAGATGTGACTGGTGTGACAGGGATACATTGTTGCTGGTCTGGCAGAAACACACAGTTGCTGGTCTGGCAGGAACACACAGTTGCTGGTCTAGCAGGAACACACAGTTGCTGGTCTGAAAGGAACACACAGTTGCTGGTTTGGCAGGATCACACAGTTGCTGGTTTGGCAGGATCACACAGTTGCTGGTTTGGCAGGATCACACAGTTGCTGGTTTGGCAGGATCACACAGTTGCTGGTTTGGCAGGATCACACAGTTGCTGGTTTGGCAGGATCACACAGTTGCTGGTTTGGCAGGATCACACAGTTGCTGGTTTGGCAGGATCACACAGTTGCTGGTTTGGCAGGATCACACAGCTTTGGCAGGATCACACAGTTGCTGGTTTGGCAGGATCACACAGTTGCTGGTTTGGCAGGATCACACAGTTGCTGGTTTGGCAGGATCACACACAGTTGCTGGTTTGGCAGGATCACACAGTTGCTGGTTTGGCAGGATCACACAGTTGCTGGTTTGGCAGGATCACACAGTTTGCTGGTTTGGCAGGATCACACAGTTGCTGGTTTGGCAGGATCACACAGTTGCTGGTTTGGCAGGATCACACAGTTGCTGGTTTGGCAGGATCACACAGTTGCTGGTTTGGCAGGATCACACAGTTGCTGGTTTGACAGGATCACACAGTTGCTGGTTTGGCAGCAGAGCGTGTTGGCTGCTGCATGTGTGCAGCTCTAAACAAGAAACAACAGATATAAACTAGCAGGGGACTGTACCCTGTAGGAATTGTCACCTGACAGCTTGTCATCTGTGCACATCTCAACACATTTCTGATTTTACACAAAACAATTGTTTTTTTTTTAATTGTTTCATAATCCACAAAACATACACAAAAATGTATTAATGTTTTAAATTAATCAGCATATTACGTTAGTAAATACAGCTGTTAAGCAACATCATAATTTTTTAAAAATATATACAAATTGTAATAAAATGAATACGAATACATTGTTTTAGTTATCATAATTTGTCTTTAGTCGAGGAAAAAAAAACGGAAAGTAACTGGAGAAAACCTTGTGGAAACAGTTGATGAAAACCTTGTGGAAAAAGTTGAAGAAACCTTGTGGAAACAGTTGAAGAAACCTTGTGGAAACAGTTGAAGAAACCTTGTGGGAACAGTTGAAGAAAACTTGTGGAAACAGTTGAAGAAAGCTTGTGGAAACAGTTGAAGAAAACCTTGTGGAAACAGTTGAAGAAACCTTGTGGAAACAGTTGAAGCAACCTTGTGGAAACAGTTAAAGAAAACTTGTGGAAACAGTTGAAGAAACCTTGTGGAAACAGTTGAAGAAAACTTGTAGAAACAGTTGAAGAAAACCTTGTGGAAACAGTTAAAGAAACCTTGTGGAAACAATTGAAGAAAGCTTGTGGAAACAGTTGAAGAAAACCTTGTGGAAACAATTTAAGAAAACTTGTGGAAACAGTTGAAGAAAGCTTGTGGAAACAGTTGAAGAAACCTTGTGGAAACAGTTGAAGAAAACTTGTGGAAACAGTTGCAGAAAACTTGTGGAAACAGTTAAAGAAAGCTTGTGGAAACAGTTTAACAAAGCTTGTGGAAACAGTTAAAGAAAGCTTGTGGAAACAGTTGAAGAAAGTTTGTGCAAACAGTTAAAGAAAGCTTGTGGAAACAGTTGAAGAAAGCTTGTGGAAACAATTGAAAAAAGCTTGTGGAAACAGTTGAAGAAAACCTTGTGGAAACAGTTGAAGAAACCTTATGGAAACAGTTGGAGAAACCTTGTGGAAACAGTTGAAGAAAACTTGTGGAAACAGTTGAAGAAAGCTTGTGGAAAAAGTTGAAGAAAGCTTGTGGAAACAGTTGAAGAAAGCTTGTGGAAACAATTGAAGAAAACTTGTGGAAACAGTTGAAGAAAACCTTGTGGAAACAGTTGAAGAAAACCTTGTGGAAACAGTTGGAGAAACCTTGTGAAAACAGTTGAAGAAAACTTGTGGAAACAGTTAAAGAAAGCTTGAGGAAACAGTTAAAGAAAGCTTGTGGAAACAGTTGAAGAAAGCTTGTGGAAACAGTTGAAGAAAACCTTGTGGAAACAGTTGAAGAAGAAACCTTGTGGAATTAGTTGAAGAAACCTTGTGGAAACAGTTAAAGAAAACTTGTGGAAACAGTTGCAGAAAGCTTGTGGAAACAGTTTAGGAAAGCTTGTGGAAACAGTTGAAGAAAGCTTGTGGAAACAGTTGAAGAAAACCTTGTGGAAACAGTTGAAGAAGAAACCTTGTGGAAACAGTTGAAGAAAGCTTGTGGAAACAGTTGAAGAAAGCTTGTGAAAACAGTTAAAGAAAACTTGTGGAAACAGTTTAGGAAAGCTTGTGGAAACAGTTTAGGAAAGCTTGTGGAAACAGTTGAAGAAACCTTGTGGAAACAGTTGAAGCAACCTTGTGGAAACAGTTAAAGAAAACTTGTGGAAACAGTTGGAGAAACCTTGTGGAAACAGTTGAAGAAAGCTTGTGGAAACAGTTTAGGAAAGCTTGTGAAAACAGTTGAAGAAACCTTGTGGAAACAGTTAAAGAAACCTTGTGGAAACAGCTGAAGAAAACCTTGTGGAAACAGTTGAAGAAAGCTTGTGGAAACAGTTGAAGAAAGCTTGTGGAAACAGTTGAAGAAAGCTTTGTGGAAACAGTTTAACAAAGCTTGTGGAAACAGTTGAAGAAAGCTTTGTGGAAACAGTTGAAGAAACCTTGTGGAAACAGTTGAAGAAAACTTGTGGAAACAGTTAAAGAAATCTTAGCTGTAATTTCTGTACACTATGACATCAGTGTTTATTTTGATGGGTTGTGTTTAGTGTGAGGTTCAGACGATATGGGACCCATAAGCCAATGTTCTATTTGACTTTTGAGCTCATCAGACTTGCATGCAACTGAGCTATGGGAGATGTGCTTTCTGTTTAAGCATTCTCTGGTGATAGCCAGGGTGGATTTCTGACCAAATACCTGGAGGTGACATTTGAACCTTGATGACAAGAGACAACTTCAAGGCACAAAAAGGCCCTGATTGAGCGGTTAAACAGCATATGTGAGAGTTCAGTCTGTGATGACTGAATTCAGTCTTTGAAGAGAGAGTGATATCATGGATTCAAGATATGAGAGTCCTGAATTTACAGGTGTCTCTCACAGATATAAAGTGGTGGTTGTCACTGACTTCTGCTTGTCTCTTACAGATCTAAAGTGGTGGTTGTCACTGAAGTCTGCTTGTCTCTTACAGATATAAAGTGGTGGTTGTCACTGACTTCTGCTTGTCTCTCACAGATATAAAGTGGTGGTTGTCACTGACTTCTGCTTGTCTCTTACAGATCTAAAGTGGTGGTTGTCACTGAAGTCTGCTTGTCTCTTACAGATATAAAGTGGTGGTTGTCACTGACTTCTGCTTGTCTCTCACAGATATAAAGTGGTGGTTGTCACTGACTTCTGCTTGTCTCTCACAGATATAAAGTGGTGGTTGTCACTGACTTCTGCTTGTCTCTCACAGATATAAAGTGGTGGTTGTCACTGACTTCTGCTTGTCTCTTACAGATATAAAATGGTGGTTGTCACTGACTTCTGCTTGTCTCTCACAGATCTAAAGTGGTGGTTGTCACTGACTTCTGCTTGTCTCTCACAGATATAAAGTGGTGGTTGTCACTGACTTCTGCTTGTCTCTTACAGATATAAAGTGGTGGTTGTCACTGACTTCTGCTTGTCTTTCACAGATATAAAGTGGTGGTTGTCACTGACTTCTGCTTGTCTCTTATAGATCCAAGGTAGTGGATGTCCTTGACTTCTGCTTGTCTTTCACAGATCCAAGATCATCTGGGGCTGTTCAAAAGTCAGATCAATCAAATCAAGTATGTTTTGCAACATGGTGGCAACTTTCCCCTGACACCGAGTTCCTCCAGGACAAATATGGAGATAGATGATGTCAGCTCACAGCTGGGAGCTTCCATTAACTCAGCAGACTCTGATCATTCATTGTTTGATGGTTTCAGGGACGATGTTACCTTGGACACCAGCAAACTCGCCTTGCAGGTTAGCCAGAATTTGTTGACACTGTATGTCAGAATAAATTATATGTTAATGAACAGACAAATACACTTTTTTTTCCAAGAGTCACAAACTGGGCACACAGGCACTTTTACATTAGGCCCTTCCAGACTCTTTCACACATCAACTGTATTTTTGTTTCATATTATGCTCATATAGCAAAATAGATACAATGGGAGATAAATCATGTATGATTTTAATCACGTATGAGAAAAAATCATGTTTGAGAATAAAACAAGCTGACAAATAAAGCATATGTCAGAATAAAGCAGGTGTTATAATAAATAATGAATGATGTTTGAGAATCAATTGTGTGTGAGAATAAATAATGTTTGAGAATAAATCATGAATAAATGTAAATAATGAGTGAGCATAAATCATATATGAGAGTCAATTATATGTGAGAATAAATCATGTAGAAGTCAAATTATATGTGAGAGTAAATCATTTTGAAAAAGAAAAAAAGCAAGCAGAAGAATAAAACACGTGTGAGAGTAAATCACTTGTGAGAATATGTCTTCTCCGAAAATAAATCATGTATGAGAATACATCTAGTGAGAGAAAAAATCACATATGCAAATATTATCTGTAGAAATAAAGCAGGCAAACGAATAAATAACTGTAGGAATAAATCTTGTAGGACTATAAATCACATGAGAAAAAAAATTGTGTGACAATCATTTATGTCAAAGCAATGTTTCTATGTTGTAAATTTGAACAAAGAATGGACTGTACAAATTAATTACCTGGCACATTTGGCTGTTTCTTGTCCGGTGCGGTGCATACTACATTAACAGTTAAAAAAAATGAAGCAAATAAGTGAATCCCTTACAACTGAAGAAGAAATTCCAACACTCTCAAAAGCAGCTATCTTTTTTACCAGGGCAATCGCATCATCACAACTATATCTTTCTATTGTAGAAGTGCTGGATGGAGGTAACGATTCGTGATGGCATCAAGAAATCTTGTCCATAGTATGGAGAATTTGAAATGCACTAGCCTTGTTTACAGCATGTCTGGCGGTCAAAAGGTTGCAGGCTTTTGAGGAAGCATGGTCTGTCCTACCGCCACCTGGGTCATGTTTGTTACAGTATTGTTTTTGTTATTTTGTATTACTCTTTCCAACCATACTGGAAATGCAACTGATTTTCAACAACTGCTGAATATTGTGGGGATGGAGAGTGCTAAGAAAGGACTTTCCTTGAATAATAAGAAAATGGAAGTAATGGTTAAATCAAAGAACAAGATAACTACACATTGTGATATCTCAATTGAAGGAAAAAAGCTTACAAAAGTAAATAAATTCAAATACAAGGGAACAGTCACATCATCAGATAGAAAATTGTGTGACAGAGATTACAAGCAGAATAGGTCAAACAAAGGCAGCATTTAGGAACATGAAAAATATCTTATGCAATAAGTTGCTCTCATTTAATGTCAGAAAGAGAGTGCTAAAATGTTACATAGAACCTGTTCTGCTGTATGGCAGCGAATCTTGGAATGTCCGTTCACAAATTAAGACGAATTTGGAAGCAACAGAGATGTGGTTTCTGAGGTGAATGTTACGAATACCTTGGACAGCCAAAATAAATATCAATGATTGTTTCAAAGAAGCTGATGAAAGTAGACATCTATATACAACAATAAGAAGGAGACAGACACTGTTTTGTTTTTGCACGTAAAGAGAAGAGAGACATTGGAAAACATTGTGACAACTGAGAAGATCAGTGGAAAGAGGGGTAGAAGCAGACCAAGAGAGAAGATGCTGGATGAGCTGAAACGATGGCATGGAGGAATATCATCAAGAGAGCTCTTCCAGGCAACCAGGGATCATGATCTGTGGAGATGCATGAGCACCTACGCCAACTGGCAAGGCAGATCATGATTACCCATACTTGAATATGCTCATTGGCTTGTTTCTCTAGGCATCAGTCAGATTTGTGCACATAAACAGATTCACAACTGAATTTAAACTGGTAGATACAATCTGATGATGTCGACAAAAGTTATTTTTTCACTGAAAATGTTGTCAGAGAGTTTATTTTAGATCTGACAACAGGCACAGAAGTGTAGAAAGTCTGGCTGACTTGTTTTTAATGGTCGTATTCTTGTGTCAGGTCTTGGTCAGATATGACTAAGCTACCATACAACAGTAGCCGGTCCCACATGCCTTCTGTTAGGCCGAATGTTGGGCGGCGTATACCAAACCTAACATCTCATATTGTGGCAACAGCTCCGGACAAAGGAGTGCATTGGGGAGGATACTAGCCTTATCCTAGGAAGAGGAAATGCAACCTGAAAACTTTCTGTTATGGCAGGGCAGACCAGGCCCTTCACCTTGGCTGGCAGCTGGTCTAGGAAGGAAGCTCTAACAGGCGGACAGATAGAGCACTGCTCTTTTAATCCAGCAGTTTCTGCAGCCTGCCTTGTTCCAAACGTACTCGTGTTACCTTTCTTTTGGAGTAAACAAGGCAGGTCGAGTGAGGGATCATGATGCATGGGCAACATATGGTCTCTACAATACTGCCTAGGCTTTGTGGTATGGAGAGGAGGAACTTCATCTGGCCTTGATCAGCCTCGGAAACAAATCGAGAGGCAGCAGTTGCGGGTTGTAAGTCCTTGTCCCTTGGCGTAGATGAGGGTGCCATGGGTTGCCCCTGATGGTGGGAGACATCTTTGAATGTTAATGATCAACTATCGCCAGCCTCAAGCTGTTGATCCACCACAGCTTGTATGCTTCAGTGGGTTCTTGAAGCTAGGCAAAATTTAAATCACATGCTGTAAAACCAATGCACCAGGCAATTCTTCTTCTTCTTCACTTCCTCTTTTACCGCTGTGGGTGTCGAGGGAGATATAAGGTTCTGTTTCTAGCTCTTCTGGCCGCCTCGACCATAGGGACATCGTGCTGTTGTAGAGTTTCTCTGATGTTATCCTTCCATGTTCTTCTTGGTCTACCTCGTGCTCTACGTCCTTCTTCCCTTTCCATGTATGCTTTGTATGGTATGGTGTCACAAGGCATTCTCTCTAAGTGGGCAAACCATTTCACTTGCTGTCTTCGTATGTAATTTAGAATTGGTTCTGTGTCGACTTTTTCTCTTATGATCTCATTCCTGATCTTATCTCTTATGGTCACTCCTAAAGCCCTTCTTAGACATCTCATTTCCATGGTTACAAATTTCGTTTATGATTTGTTGTGAGTGACCATGTCTGGCACTGGTAGCACAGAGTTGGAATAAATATGCTTTGAAAAAGATGTCTCTTTGTGCTGATTGGGATTGTCTTATGCTGTAAGAGGGGAGCTAGCTGTCCCAATACTTAGTTTGCTTTATTGCATCTAATGTTAATTTCTTTATCCAATTTCCCATCTTCGGTAATTGTAGTTCCCAGATATTTAAACTCAGATGCCTGTTTAATGCCTTTGTATTCTATTGCTATGTTTAGATCTGTCTTCTTTTTTCCTATTGACATTACTTCTGTCTTTTCAGTGTTGATTCTCATATTATTTGTTTTAAATTCTTCATTCATGGATGATAGATGTTGTTGCAATTTCATGGCTGTATCTGCTATCAAGGCCTGGTCATCTGCAAAGAGTAATTCGTTGATCTTACTAAGGCCTTCATTCATGGGCTTGGCATTCTTGCATATACTGTTGATGTAGGTGATAAACAGCAGTGGTGATAAGACACACCCCTGTCTTACTCCAGATGTTACTGTGAATGGATGAGATGTTCCCTGATTTATTCTAACTACACTTCTACAATCCCTGTATAAACTTTTGCACACTTCAATGAGGTGTTCGCTTACTCCATATCTTGCCATTACTTTCCATAATAATTGTCTGTCGACTCTGTCAAGTACCTTCTCCTGGTCTACGAATGCCACAAATAAGTTCTTATTGTATTCAATGTTCTTTTCTATTAACTGTTTAAGTGTGAAGATTGTATCTGTGCAGCTTCTATTTCTCCTAAATCCCATCTGTTCTTCTGCCAGCTGTGGTTCTATCACTGGTCTCAGTCTTGTTTCTATTATCTTAGCATACATTTTGCCAACATGGTAATGCCTCGGTATTGACCGCATTCTCGTTTGCTTCCTTTGTTCTTCCACAATGGTATAACTATTGCATGTTGCCAATCAATAGGGGCAGTTTGTTGTACCCATGCTGCATTAAATATTCTGTGAAGCCATCTAATGCTGCTTTCACCTGCTGGGTGAATTATTTCTGTTGGTAGTCTATCAGCTCCTGGTGCTTTATATTTGGGAGACTGCTTAATGACTTTTTCTATTTCATCCATTAGTATGTGTGGTTCTAACACTGTTGCTCTGTGCTCTTCATTTGTTCTTTCCTGATGATCTCCAAGAGGATTAAAGAGCTCATTGAAGTATTCCCTCCATCTTTCTGCTATCTCGGGTGGATCTATCAATGGCTTTCCTGTCTTATCATTAATTATTTCAGTGGGGTTGTAGCTCTCATCTCTTTTCCGCATATTTTTAACTACTTTGAAAAACTTTCTGCTGGCTGTTTTTTCATTTTCTGCTAATGACTCACCGAAACGTTCCCAGGATGCTTGTTTTGCTTTCTCTGTATGTATGTATGTATGTATGTATGTATGTATGTATGTATGTATGTATGTATGTATGTATGTATGTATGTATGTATGTATGTATGTATGTATGTATGTATGTATGTATGTATGTATGTATGTATGTATGTATGTGTGTGTGTGTGTGTGTGTGTGTGTGTGTGTGTGTGTGCGTGCGTGCGTGCGTGCGTGCGTGCGTGCGTGCGTGCGTGCGTGCGTGCGTGCGTGCGTGCGTGCGTGCGTGCGTGCGTGCGTGCGTGTTGTGCGTGCGTGCGTGCGTGTGTGTGTGTGTGTGTGTGGGTGGGTGGGTGGGTGGGTGGGTGGGTGGGTGGGTAGGTGGGTGGGTGGGTGGGTGGGT